AGCCTAAAAATTACCGATTTTTAGGTGCATTAATATCTTCATATTGTTAAAAACGAAAGGCGGTGAACATTTTTCAAAATCGCCATTTGAATACATGGAGGAAGGGAAAGTTGAGACACAACAATTCAAACAAAAAACCCCGCATCAGCCAGCATGCTATTCCGCCTTAATTGTCGCTGTTTTAATTGCCGAGAAATTTAAAAAAGATATCCTTGTGGGAGGACCTTGGTCAAGTTTACTATTAAATACACAACGGATTCGATCATTGCTTGGACAAATGTATATGAAATGTTATGTGTAAATATGTGCTCAATTGCAGATTGGAAAAGGTAACATATAAATAGTGCTATCGATAATATTAATTCCGGTTAGTATTTCTAATTTGGTTTTTAATGAAAATCTAGGTTGCATTACATAATTAATTCGTTAGTTAGCTTAATTGTATTCCGAATTTAACTAAGTTCCATGACAATTTTATTGAAGATTATAAAAACCTGTCAATCATACATTTCATTTCGTCGAACTTATTATCCGCCAGGTGAACTTATGCATGAACATACCCGATCTACAATTTTTGTTGCAAAGTGGTGGCAAAATGGTAGCAACTTGAAACAAATAACGGTGGCAAAATGTTTGTTATTTTAACCTGATTTCGCAGTATAAAAAATTACTGTTAACTCTTCAAACCATTCTGGTACATAAAAATAACAGTTAAATTCATGCAACTTTTCATGAAAATTTCAACGAGAAAAGTAGCGTGGATTTCAACCAAATAACAACTGTGGTATTCACTGAAACATGGCACGAAAAAACAACGCAGATTTAACCTGGAATGCTAATAAAGAGAGTGCGCGGGATCCAACGTTTTGCCTCTACTCCATGTTTCTCTCTCACAAAGTCAGTTCAATTAATTTTATTTCCAAAATGTCATCCATCCAAGTTAATAAATTTTGCATCATACAAATTGACTGTAACGGCGAAAAATTTGTAGAAATAGCTCCCACGATTTGGCTGGAAGAAGAAGAAAAGTTTGTGTTTTGGCCACCAGCTTCTAAACTGAAGAGTTTCAGTAAAAAGGGAACTGTTCATCCCCTCCCTTCTTGGAGGAGACAGACGTATCAGAAAATCCTTGGAAAATATGGTGACTATCATCGATTTAGTTCAATTATTATAGTAATGTACTTGATTATAAATTTCAGTAAAAATGATCTCAATTGCAGATACTTGGAAACTAGCTTGCGAGAAGGTCAAGATAGCGGAGGACACGTCAAATCTTGGGAGTGCAGCAGAGAATCATTTGGAAGGCCGAAGGAAGAAAAATAGTCGAGAATTGTCGCACCCGAACGTGTCATCAAGCGGCAGCGAAGACGACGAAGAGAATTCCATTTTAGTTTCACCTCCTCCCATGAACGATGAAGGTAAAAGTAAAACTTTTTTACTAGTAAATACTAAAGGAAAATCATTTTTCAACCACTCGTTTGAATCCCCGTAGGAAGCACTGAAGTGCAACTATCAACTCAAGATAGCGACAACATTCCTTCAGTAAATCAACCAGAAGTGATCAACTTGGAAGGACAAGACATTGGCGTGCTTTTGGCGACATCAACAGATATAAATGATTTAAAGAAATTAATTGAAGGCAAATCTTAGTTTTTACAGTTCTTATCATGTTATATCATTTAATACACAAATAATGTAATTTTTGTTACAGGCTACAATACAAGAATTATTAAAATTCTTGAGCGCCAAAACGCAGAAATTCTAGAGATGAGAGCAACCCTGCATAATATCCGAATATCAAACGACGGCGAAGTTGAAGTTGACTTTTCATCTATTCCACATCGTTATCTGGAAACGAGAGAGCACCTTGAGCAGACCGAAAATTGGCTGGAACTTGCCGATGCAAATCGAGATTTATTGGTCAGATTTGAACTTTTTAATTAATTTTTTAATGTCATAATTTTATTCAAATTCTGAATAATTCTGGTCTTCCAGATTGAATACCTAAGGATAAAAGGAGGCGATACTGTTGAGAAAAATACGCGAAGGGCGTTTAAAAAATTAGTCAGCCCTGAACTTGCTCGACAAATAAATTATACTGGAAAGGGAGGGAAAATAGCTTTAAAAACATTGGGAATTTTCTCGGTTGTAATTGGTTCGTTATTTTATATTTATTTCATTTTATTGTAACACAATATTTATTACAAGTTTATTCCATGTGTGTACTCTTTGATTCAACAGAAAGTGTGAGAAAAAATTATCCTGCCGCAACAGATAACATCATTGAAAAAACAGCAAAACATTTCTTCCGTTTTATAAAAGTGTAATATCGTCATGGCGTGTCAACCCGGATTTTCAGCAAGAAATATAAGAAGAATAGTTTCAAGGAAAGTTCGCGAAAATATTGCAGAACTACGTGAAGAACTAACGTTGTCTACACAACATAGTAATAGTACAGTGTTTTGTCAAAATTCTCAGCAGATTAATAATAATAATTATAGCTCAGGGACTGAAACAAGTGATGTTAGCGATAGTGATAGAAGTTTAAATAGTCGCGTAACCTCCGACTGCAGTCAGGAAGGAGAGAGTATTGATAAGATAAGAGAAAATTTAAGAAATTGGGCAATTTCACATAATATCACTGGGTTAGCAATTCAAGATTTACTCAAACTTCTGAAGGAATATAAAATCTTTAGTTTTCTACCTTCCGATCACAGAACGCTTCTCAGGCCAAGGGAAAATAATTTTACAAAAAAAACATTTGATGATGGGTCGCTATTTTGCTATTTCGGTCTAGCAAATTCTCTTCTCAAACAGATAAAGTATGGTTTTATTTCGAGTAATTGTTCAATTCTAAATATTTCTATTAGTGTTGATGGTATTCCAATTAGCAAAAGTAATACAAATCAGTTTTGGCCGATTCAGGCCACATGTGCCGAAAGCAAATTAGGTGTTTTTGTGGCCGCAATATATTACGGCAAGACAAAACCTCTGAATATTTCGGATTATTTTGCAGACTTAGTAGGGGAACTTAAATTACTCCGTACAGAAGGGGTTACATATAATAATAGAAAAATTATTGTACTTTTGTGTAAAATCATTGCCGATGCTCCCGCAAGGAGTTTTGTCAAACAATGCAAAAATCACAATGCTTACTATGGCTGTGAGAAATGTTCTGAGAAAGGCAATTTTAGAGGAAGAGTAATCTTTGAAAATCCAAACGCTCCACTGCGAACAGATAAAACGTTTAAAGAACAGAGTGATAAAAATCATCATATTGGAGTATCACCATTTATAGATTTAGATTTTAATTTAGTGTCTTGTGTGCCAATAGACTACATGCATTTAGTATGCTTAGGCGTAGTTAGAAAGTTATTGAGGTGTTGGGTGAAAGGTCCATTACCCTACAAATTGTCAACCCGAGATATCTCTAAAATTAATAATTCCTTAACTGTATTAGCCACCAATTGCCCTACAAATTTCAATCGGAAACCACGTACGGCAAAGGAGATAGATTTATGGAAAGCTACGGAATTCAGGACGTTTTTACTTTATACAGGGCCAGTTTTATTAAAAAATGTTTTGTCCAGAACGAAATATCAGCACTTTCTTTTACTCAGTATAGCAACGTCTATTTTAGTTTCTAGTCGAGCGACTATTATAGAATATAATAATTATGCCAATCAACTTCTACGAATTTTTGTTGAGAAAATTAGTGAATTATATTCACCCGAATTTTTAGTGTACAATGTTCATTCACTAATACACATTAGCGCAGACGCTCTAAAATTCGGTCCGCTTGATTCATTTAGTGCGTTTCCTTACGAAAATAATATGCAGTTTATTAAACGAACTTTGAGAGCGTCATACAAACCCTTAGAGCAATGTATGAATAGGATAATTGAGAAAGAAAATGTTCTTTTATCTCAACCTGTGTCTACAACTTCTACCTCGTTTAAATTGGCCCGTAATGACAATTGTTATAAGTTAAAATCAGGGTTTATTGTTGTTGTATCAGAATACATTAAAGATAGTGAAGTCATAGTATGTAAGAAATTCAAAAAGCTTGAAGACCTGTACAAATATCCCAGCTCTAGTTCTATTTAAGGCATACATCAGGTTTCAAAAATATCAAAGAGTTTTAGAGTAAATGTGAGCCAAGTTGAAGCAAAATGTTGGTTGATGTCATTGGATGAAAAATTAATTGTTGTTCCTTTAATAAATTGTTAATATAAATAATATAATTTAAATTGTTAATAAATTGCGATTTTATTACCAATGCACTGCGAAAAAACTACCGTTAATATTTTGCATAAATTTCCATGAATGCCACGGTGATTTTGAAGTAAACATTACTGTTAATTTGTTGCAAATGCCACGGTTATTTTATTGTTACTTTCTACGTTAAAATAACGTGAATACCACCGTGGTTTTCTTGATATGCTAGTTGTTGAAAACCACGTTCGAAAAACGGCCATCAGTTGCAATTCTGCAACTCAGTTATTTTTGCGTGGATTTAACGAAAATTGTAGATCGGGTACAAATCCTGTCAGCCATCCTATTCCTCAACCTATTTAAAGAACAAATTTTTACCCATGCCATAAGTACATATTTCGTAATTAAACTGGGGCAGATTAGAGATCAATACTTATGCAATTCGACCTTATGAAATACTGAAATCTTGGGGAAATTCAAGGTTTGACAAGTTATTGACAACTGATTAAAAGCTGAATTGTAATGTCAAATTAGATTTTATTCAGGTTTTCCAATTTCTTTCGTCATACATACGTGCATATATATGTATTCAACTCGAATACGTTACGATGATAATCCTTCCACTTGATAAGCCAATACGTATGTGTTTGGTACGGATCAGTTACAAAATTGGTGGGTAATTCCTGTTCCTCTCTCGAAATGCGGATTTTCCTGAATGCCAAATTCATGATAAGCTCGCCATATAAATACGACCCGAAATCCTGGTCTCAGACATCACAGCTTGATCTAGCTCTTCCCATCCTAGTTATCACCTGATAAGCTCCACAAAACCCATTAACATGTTGAAGCTCGCAACCATTCTGGTGACATTGTTGGTCGCCTTGAGTTCTGGTAATTTTGAAAATCTACTAAAAATTTTAAACGGGGTAAATTGAAACTATTACGTTTAAATACTTACCGCCGTTTTTTATGTAAATTTAGCCTATCCAAGGTCATCCTTGAGGGTTCCTGGAGGGGGACGAATTGTTGGAGGAGAGGATGCCACCGTGGGTCAATTTCCGTACCAGTTGAGCTTGACCATGGCTGGCTCAATAATCTGTGGGGCTTCGATTATCTCACCAAACTTGGCCCTTACCGCCGGTAAATTTGTGTAACTATCGTCGTAGTAAACTACACTGTTAGAAATCTGGTATAGTCATATTGATTTCTCGGTATTAAAATTCTATCGGTAACTGAAAACTTGGTACCGACAAGGTAAAACTGTAATACCGAACAATTACTACTTATCAATATGTACCACTTTGATACATAGAGTCAAATTTGAATATTATTTGGTATCATTTCAATACTGGTTTTCTCAGTGTATAACTTGTTTAAATTGTCACACAAATATTCAAATTTTCGTGACTGTTTGTCCAGCTCATTGTGTCAACCGAGCCCAACCCTCTCAAGTTCAGGTCATCGCTGGTCGCCATCTGAGAACAACTCCCGCACCGAATGAGCAGATCAGACAGGTCACGAGGATCGACGTTCACGAGAATTACAATGGAAACACGTATGCAAATGATATTGCTCTTCTCCACCTCTCCACAAGCACGCCCTTCGTGTATGACGACGTCGTCGGAGAAATTGCACTCCCCACGCGGGAACAACAGACCACCGGAGACACCGTTGTTTCCGGATGGGGTCGACTCACATCTGGTCTTTACCCGACCGTTCTTCAGTGGGTCCAAGTCCCACATGTGAGTGACGCACAGTGCCAACAACTCTATCCCGAGGAGACTATCCTGCCTTCCATGTTGTGCGCTGGGCTTATTGCGGGAGGGAAGGACTCTTGTCAAGGCGATTCTGGTGGTCCCCAAGCCGCCGTTAATGGAGGTTATCTGGCCGGGATTGTTAGTTGGGGATATGGCTGTGCTGCACCAAATAGGTATGTAAATGTCTAGATGCGTAACAAAAAATACGGAATTTTTGGACCATTGTTAACTATTTGGTTAAATTTGTAGACCCGGCGTGTACACCGAAGTCAGCTATTTCATCGACTGGATTGATGCACACAGGAATTAAAGGTTCAAAATTATGACAACCATTCCTCTCGCTAATTGAAATTAAATTTTCTGCCCTACTTACTTATTCTACTCACTCACATTCCTCTATTTTATTCAGTTGTATTAAAGAATTGTGCGTAATAAATTGTGCATATTATGTAAAATATGAATTGTAGTTGATTTATACACATTTATTTATTTTTATAAGCATGAGTGCTTTCCACAAGACTTGCATAAATTAATGTATGACAACTTCTTTTATCGAAGCAGGAATTCCGAGTAAATTTGCAAATTGGGTGCCAATTAAACGGTCCAACGAAAATACAGTTTTATCCAACCAAAATTAATGATATCGCCAATAATGCAATGTGCAACGGGTTTAATTTTTATTTCCAACGAAAATATAAAACCATCCACCCAGATCATAGATGTTTTACACACATATCCTATTAGCCCACTTTGTAATTACGAAATTTCGACTTTTACGAAACCTATCAGTACCGTTTGCTTAGCCCGACAAGGTATTGCTTAGTAAACCCATGTTTATCACTACTTTTCTATAAAATTTTGTGCTACTACTTTGCACTAATTCTTGCACTATCATCAATTATTCGTATTACATAAATACTTGGTTCCAAATTCTAAAAAGGTTTACTATCCTCTCCCCTTGACTACTTCCAATGACCAGAGGAAATCGCTCCTATAAAAATTCCGAAATTCAACTCTCCCATATGCTAATCATAAGTTATTTTTCGACTCCATTCTAAATTTCCACTGATTATATAAAGTTTTAGAAATCGGTAGGGGTCACCCCCTAATGCCTCTCTGCCCAATTTTTGTTCATACTTATATCTCGGCTCATCGTCGCCCTCCGCAGGGGTCAAAATAGTAGAAAATCTAGGTTTTTCACCCGGTTTGCGAAGTTTAACCGATATCACTTGGATTTAAATAAAAACGTTTTATACTAACTCCTTTATGTCTGGCACACCTCCTTTGTCATACCGGGTTAGTCCCAAAAGTAATTATCAAATTACATAAATGTCAATTCTTCCAAAAGTGTCGTTGTGCAAGATTCAGGTTTTTACAGCAGAACTAGCTAATTTGCTTGCAATTTTTTATGCAGGTTAGAATTTTTTTTATGGGGAGAGTATCCTCGAAATATGCATCTGAACTGCGTTTGGGTTAAAAACATTTTTTGATGCTCCGAAATCCTAGCTTTGTTCGGGCGTTTACATTTTCAATAAACCCCATACCCTGCACTGGATAATGATATGGTGCTTATTTCCTTGTGCTGGCGAGAAGACTTTCCCTTTGGTATCGTATTGCAAAAAACATTTCACAACAAAACTTACAAATACAAAAGTTATCAACAAAAACCGAGGGAAAAAGTCATCGGGAGAAACTTTTAGGACACCCTCTACACAATATGGTAAAAATTTCAAGTTAATCGGTAAACTTGTTCGTAAGTTATTGAAGGACAGACAGACAGACGGACGGACATGACAATTACATAATCCCTGGTTTGGGCTAAGCAGTAAATTATTTCGTTGGATATTTTAATGAAAAGCGTTGTAAAATAAATCAATTGGTTGCACAAGTCACGATTGGCAAAGTTATTAATTTTGGTTGGAATAATCCATATCTTCGTTGGATGGTATAAAATAAATCGTTTGCAAATTATTAGCTTACAAATTCATTTAAGTTGTAGAAACAGTGCGAATAAATTCTTTACATCCCTTGGGTTGAACTTATTCGTATAGCACACATGTAACAGACTACTGTAAACTTACACATTCATTTACGAATATATCGGCATTAGAATTGGCATAGTAATTTGTAAACTGAAGTTTACAAATGCATATTTTCTGAGGACGCAAATTTTCGGTATTTTTTTATATTCATACGCTGGTAAACAGATGCATATTCTCATCCGTTGTAAATTTAGAATAATAAATATGTATATCTAATAATGACGTCATAATTTTTATTGACATTTGGAAGCATATATTCATATGTACATAAGCACTTGATTTGAGTCTCCATGGTGTTATATTTTAAACTAAACAAATCTCCCCAGTTATGATAGACTAATAACATAATAATTATCGTTTAATTATAATTATTCCTGTTCCTCTCCCGAAATGTTCTTGAATGTCATAGGTCGTCATGATAATCTCCCCATATAAATATTGGTGGTTTTGTACATTATGTCCAACAAACAGATACATGTACTGCAATATTATTAACGTGCGTTGCTGTATTTGTTGTACTTATGTTACATATTTTTCATAAGCACCAGATTTGTGTGTCGAAGGGACTGTATTTTAAACTAAACAAATTTCACCAGCCATTCTGAGCTCATTACACAATAATTATTATAATTTTGAGCTCTGCAGTTATACATATACAGTTCTTCTAGTTTGAGGTTATCCAAAAGAGAAATGTAGACATGTGTAAGTATGCATTAAGTACGTTTACATCGCTGTAATTGGTCTCTGCTAAACTGTAGTTATAATTTTAGGCCAACATGTATTTAAGCATACCCTAAGTTATGGTGGAGTATTTTACATACCAAGCTACTTATTACGTATGATGGCTACTCCAATGTAAATCTAAAAACATTAAAAACTCAGTCATGAACTTAACTCGAACGATATATTTACATAATATGTAATAGTTCTTTTTTAACTTCATCAGGATTAATAGCTGAGACCCAGCTTCTGGTAATTATTTTGCGTAATTGGCAATTATTAATTGGTAACTGGAATTTGTTTTGCGTAGCTTGGGCAAATGTGAAGCCTACATACCGTTACTACTCCAATTGTTGCCGGGGCTTCAATCAGAAATTGGTTGTCACAGACCCGGCTACAATAAGAGTTCGCGTTATATGTATTTAATGTAATTGGATACAAAATTAAAATTCGGTATCTTGGCCTCCAAATTTGGCCCCATATTATTATTGTAACTAGGTAGGAAAATGCTTTAGTCGGGATTTTTCCAATTTCCCTACCGCAATCGACAATAAAAACCCAATGCAACTTATCACCTAATATTATAAAATGTGGCATGAAGCTGGCCTTATCTACTTTCGAAACTCCATCAAAGCAATACATAGAAACTCATTCTCCACATGCTATTATCTGGATTGGGACCATAAAGTTGGACGAGCGAAGCAAATACCTACCACTAGCTGGCACTACCGATCTTTCCAACTTTTCGGGATTATCTTCATCCTGTTTGTTGAACCAGTCCTTTTGTTCCAGTCCTATCAATTTAGTAAGTCAGATCTCCATGAAAAGAATGATATGAAATCGGCCTGTCTAACCTACATCGCGACCATACTTTTTTGGGGATCAATTCCTTACGTGTGCCTATTAATGAGGAAATCTGGCCCACCTAGATTTATTAAGTGTTATGAATCTGTCCTTACGTTGGATAAACAATTACAAGGTACAGTTTTAATATACTTAATTTAATAATACACATTTCCAATTGCCGGAAACATAGAGCATGTGATCAGTTTTCTGAGAATTCTGGCCCCTACGCTGGTGTGACGTACTCGTCCATTTTATAATTAGCCCGGTATATGTACGTGATGAATCAATTTCTTCTGGGATTAAGGATTTCTATTAATCTGTGATTAATTAATTCAATGATCCGGTACATCTGCGATGTTTGGGGATTATCACTTGTTTTCTAGTATGTATGTTGGAAACTGTTGGCTTTCAATGACCCACTGTCATTTTCATAAGTTAAAAATACAAAGATGTTAAAATTTAAACAATTCAATCGTTTGACAACTTGTGTCGTTTGAAAAATGGTAATAATTGCAAACATATAAGTGTTTGTCAAGGTTAAATTATAAAAAATCAATCAACTTCGTTGTACCTACATATAGTGATTCAGGAATAATTGCATGAAAACTTTTGCTTGAGATTAATGATTAAGAATTAATCGAACTAAAATGGGCTTTCGGGCTTAATTATTGGGGATTATTAGTTCTTAATTTTTTCATCACGATTTTCAACATGGTTAGGATAAGTTGCCTAGATCCTCAAATCGATCACATGCTTTCCGAAAAATCCTAAATTCAAAAATTATTTATCCTTCAGAAATCTTCCACAAAGGACGCAGATACCACGAGGTGACTCAAATGTCTGCAAACATCATCAAACTTATGAGCACTTTCACTTTCGGACTTCTCAACATAGTCCCAGTTATCACGGTCTGGATTTCATTTTCACCGCACAGCCCGATTCACCATTTTGCTCGAGGTATCTACAACTACGAGGAGCATCACGGGTGGCTAATATCACTCCCTGTTAACACCATATTGTCTCTGGGAACTTGCTTTTTTGTGAACATTATTACCCCAGCGTATGAAATCTGCATGCTTTCCGTTGCCAACGGTATCATCGTTTTGTACTTGTGGAGTGCTTACCTTTTCATGCACGTTAGTACTGGAAATCATACAAAAAGCAATTCAAATAATGTTTTGCCCTTTGACATGGCCATCATAATTTATAAGCAACTCGGAATCATGACCATTCTTCAGGTTGACATGGGCAAAGATTTAGTCACGCCAATCTTGCACCATTTATACGTCGTCATTTGGTCAACAAATTTCCCTGTACTATTTGCTAGTTCAGTTCATGCCTGGGAGAGAGGTATCCCTCGTGGTGTCGGCCAGTTGCATTGGCATGATGATTGGTGGCCTCGTCATAGAAATGGTTGTAATTTGCTTTGTAGCAAAGGCTTGCAAAATGTCGAAAGACTTTATTCGGGTCATGAAACATGCTCACGGAAGGGACAGATATAGACGTAAAGTTTTGACGGGACTGTTACCAAACTCGATAAATTTAGAGCTGCAAAGTTGTGCTGAATCGATGCGCGAGGGGATCGGGAAGGACTACTTTCTCCGATATGTCGAGAGGGTCGCGGAGGGTACGATGGACTTATTGTTAGCTAAAAGTAATGTGTAACGTCAGAAATGGAGGAATAGTTTTCGTATATGTAGTTCGTAAAACTAATCAAAAACTGCGCTTTTGTTTGTATGGTTTTTATTCCCTATTCACGGCCACTTCGGGCCATGCTCGAAATAGACCATGGACCACAAAACTAAGACTCATTACGAAGGTCAGGGTT